CTGGCACGTCAATGTTCAATTTAGAGTTTTTAACAGTTGACCTGATACTGCACAGCCTTTGGAAGGATGCAGGATTACAGGACTAGAGAACGTGTACTCGATTACAGTAGTATTATTTACAGTCAGTTATCACTGAGGGAAGTCAAAACAAGGTACTAATCAACCTTCTTACCCTCGACTTGTGTACCAAACAAACTGACTACGGGTGGAGTTGTTGGAAATTGAGAAAATAAAACAAAAGGATGAAATGTAAACTCAGCTCAGAACATCTCTCGTCAGTTGTTTTTTGATAATCCAGCTGTTTTGAACCAGCAGTGTAAACATGAAACTTGTCCATCATGCCCCTCCTATAATATCTGAGTAAATACTACTACAGTTCACAGCACAGACTCTCCTCTTCTGTCACTGACAATGGCATCAAACCACCCAGTGCAATACGGGGAAAAAAAAAAAAACAAACTTCAAAAAGCTCAATCAATTCTAAGAAAAAAAAAACAAAACAAACTTCAATGGACCCCTCCCAGGCTGTCGCTGTCTGTCTCTCTCTGTATTTTCCTGTGGAAATGGGATCATTCATTAAAAGGCAAGATAAGCTGAGTAGATATGTCGGGATTTTTCTGTAATGGTTTGACGCAAAGAGTGCTGACAACTCCTTTTCCTGCCTGTGCACTCAGCAGGCAGAGAGGTCAGAGGTCAAAGTGAAATATTCTTCTGACTCATCCTCCTGTCTGTGCTGTCTTTCACTGTGTCACTGATAAATTCAAATGACAACATCTCAGATGTGGACACGCAGATACAACCTGAAGGTGATAATGTGACCAAATATTTTTCTCCTTATCTTTATTTATGTCTCACCCCTTCATATCAGCCCACAATCACTCACCTTCTTCCACCTCCCCCACAGCTTCCCCACTTTCTGAGCTTTACATCAATTAAATTTCAGTAATTTCTGGACAAACAGTCGTATTATAATAATCTGGGATGGATTTTCCATCTTGTTCAGTCCACGGCTATGAAAACAGAACAAGGTTAAATGGACACTGTGTGTGCTTAACCTTTGCAGCTGTTTAAACAGATTTTAAAAGTGGGAGTGGTGAAAAAACAACTGGATTTCCTACATTTATGGAAAAGTTCATGGCCTCATACTAGATTAATTTTTTTATTAGTGGAAAAGATTAAATTTCAACAGATAAAACAATTGCGTTTTTCTGTAACTGGAAGCCTTGCGTTAGGCAACTGGACGTTAAGTTTACCAAGAAAACATTTCGCAGTTGCTCCTGGATCTGGAGCCATATTGTCCCAGTGTAAACAGGACATGACAGGAGTGATGGAAACCAAAGGAAAGTTTAATTTTAAACATTTTAATTTCAAAGAACAACATTTTTGATCATTTTAAATATTTCAAACATAATGATCAAGTACTTTAGCTTTAATTAAATGCCTACTTTATTTAAACAGTTATGTTATTTTGAACATAGCCCGTTAGGTTAGATCAGACACAGAGGCCATGAGACCAGCACGTAGTCAAATCATTTAAACCTTTGGTTAAAGTTCATCATCCGAGCGTCCATGTTTGTGTATGTGTGTGACGTTCTTGTTTATGTACATGCAGCAGTGACCTCATTTGTAAAGGGATACGTCTATTTAACCAGACCTTAATTCAACAGAGCGGTGGGTCCGAGGGGAACTCAGCCAACCCAAACATAAACACAGCACGATCCCTCATCTCTCTCTCTCTTTCTCTCTACACACACAAAAACACACACCAAAGTAGAGACAGGGGTTCCTTGCCCCTCTTGAATATGTTGCGCATTAATTATGTGTTTTGATCACAAACAAAGTCAACATTTTGTAGAACCAAGGAGAAGGCCAATGGCATTTTAACTGACTATCACTCAAAGGCCACTCACTCCTTTTATTTTACCCTGGTGGTGATAACCACTGGTCACTAACTATCTTTCCATATGCCCGTCTCTTTATTCCA